GCCTTCTGCCCAATCCTGCTCGTTCCTCTTGTTGTCCTCCTTTCTTTTATCAGTGTTATTCCCCATCAACCCTTTTATACTTCTGACTTCGACTCAGTGTCTGCTGATCCTCAACTGCAATTCTGAGGCCAGACAGGACAATCAGAGGACGAGGAGGCAGAGGAGCCACTATGTGAAAGTTCATGTGTATTTGTGAGATAAACAGACTCCAGCGTAGAAATGGATGAACAATATGGAGTGACCAGTCCCCTGAAAGATTGGGTAGCTAATGAACAGACATACAGGAAATGTGCAAACTTGTTGGTCATTAAAGATACGGAAGTTAAATCAACGTCTCAGTTTCTGGATCGGATAATGTGGTAGGCAGAACTCTGAGACGGTGTAACATCATGATTAGGTCAGGTTTTATGACAAAGAAGGGCTTTGGAAGATGTAATTAAGATCCCAAACTCGTTGGCTCTAAGCTAATCATAGGGAGATGATTCTGGGTATGCCTGACATATTCGGAAGCCTTTAAAAGAGTACATAGTTAGGGACTCTCCTGCTGGCCTGGAAGAAGCCAGCTGCCGTGCGCTCCATAGCTGTATTCGATCTTGGCCTGAATGGGCTTGGAAGCCAATTCTTCCCCAGTCAAGTCCACAGATGAGAGTGTAGCCCACAGACACTTCGACTTGACTGCGGCCTTTGGAGACCCTAAAATAGAGGACCCATGTAAGATATGTCAGACTTACAGTAACTGTGAAATAATGAACACATGTTTCAAGCTGTTTTTTTTTAATGGTAGCTCGTTACACAGCAACAAAACAATAGGGGCATGAAAGGCTTACAGAATGTAAGTCTCTACTGGTGAGTGGGGGTGGCAGTGGCCTTCTCCTCAAGGTAGGTGAGAGAAATATGAAGAGACATGTCATAATATATAACTAAAACTATTTCAAGTGGACATACTACTGATCATCAGGGAAATGCTAATTAAAATCACTAGATATCACCTCACATCTATCAGAATGTCTGCCATTTAATAAATTAACAACAAATGCTGGTGAAGATGTGGAGAAAAGAACTGTTTTGAACTATTGGGATTGTAAATTGGTGCAGCTAGTGTGGAAAACAGTATGGGGGGCTTGTCAAAAATTAAAAATAAAGCTGTCACATGATCCAGCAATTCCACTCTTGAGTATTTATCCAAAGAAAATGGAAAGACTAATTCAAATAGCTATATGCACTCCTATGGACATTGCAGCATTAGTTACAATAGCCAAGATATAGAAGCAACAAGTGCCCATCTGTCGACGAATGGGTAAAGAAAATGTACATATATACAATGGAATATTACTCAGCATTGAAGAACAATGTAATCTTGCCATTTTAGACTACGTGGATGGACCTGGAGGACATTATACTAAGTGAAAAAAGAAAGAGAAAGACAAATACCATACGATTTCACTTAATATGTGGAATCTAAAAATACAAAACAGTTGAACAAAACAGACCCATAGATAAAGAGAACAAGCTGATGGTTGCCATAGGGAAGGGAGTAGGGAATGCAGAAAAAAACTAAGCACTTAAATATAGGATGCGGTGAATGAGATCTATATGTCACATATAAAATAAAAGCACAGATAAAAACGGCACTGTATATCTTTCCAGAATGTGAAAAAAATAAGATTTTATATACCATTTTTTTCTAACATCTAGGAGTTTCACTTTGAGCAGTTCTTCCTAAAAATGTCTTAGTAACAATAACGAATTTGCATCGAAGGTTTACTCTGTGCAGTGCACACGTATTAGCTAATCCAGTCCTCATACAGCCCTCTCAGTACTCCAGTGTTCAAATAATGAAAGCAAGTTTTAGAGAGTTGAAGTTTTTTTTTTTCCTTAAGTTATAGAGTTACAAAGCATCCGTGCTAATCTGAGGCAGAAACTGTGTCTATTTGAACCCACTGGCACTCTTAATCCCATTTGATTATCATCCAAATAAACCCATTCGTGGTTATGTGGCTAGGTACATAATTCTGTTCAGGTTTCTGAACATTTGAAAATGTTCTTGGTAGAATGTTGAGGAAAAAGTAAATCCAATAAATGCAATATATGTATTTTAAGTGAAATATTTTCTACGGTTTACATATCTTTGACTGAGGAAATTAGCCCTCATTAGTTTCTAGACAACTTGTTTTAATCCATTGACTTTTCCTTGTATTAAAAAAATACTCTAGACTTATCTGGGTGATCACCTCTTAAGTTATATCAGTGTCTAATCACTATATTGTACACCTGAAGCTAACATAATATGTATGTCAACTGTAAGTGAAAAATAAAAAATGTGTATAAAAAAAATACTCTGGCAAGAATACCTGGAGTGGTCAAGAGTAAATTTCAGGCATGAGATTAAATAGTCATCTACCACCCTCTAGAGGCCAGCATCAGTACTCCCTGTGCAGCCTAAAGTGTGAATCACAGTGGGAACTGGGCTGGGTTTTACGTCCTCCGCGACCTGTTGCTCCAGTTTGAACCCCGATGATGACTTTTCCTTTCATCTATGGGGTTACTTTAAAGCTGGGTGGCCCCAGTATCCTCCCTGAGCTCCTTGAAGACGTTGACATCCTGGACCCGCTGTAATTTCTCCTCGTGGCCGCAAGGGGGCACCGCTGCCCTGTCTAACGACATTCTGGAGGCGGTCAGCCCCGCGGCCTTTTGGGAGCATAGGCAACGGGTAACCTACAAGCGCAGTAACCAGTCTCGAGCGGCGCGCATGCGTGGTGGCGGAGTGGGCGTCTGCCTTCGCTCTGACGGGCGGAGGGGGGTGGTCTAAGGAGAAGCTGATGCAAGGTGCACAGACAGCGCTAAGGTGGAGGCGGATGGTGGGGTGTGAGGGTGGTACCAACAGATGGCAGTGAGTAGGGTGTCATCCCCCAGATCCTGCTTTCCAGGCAGCGTCCTCCCTTGGTTGTGATCTGACTCCATATCCTGCAGGACCTTCACTAATGACAGACAACCCTGGTCACTGGACTTCTGTGCACATCTTCCCACACGTACAGCACTCCCCTCCCAGAAGAATAGCTCAAGTCCTGTATTGATATAAGAACATACAAACAGGTAGAGAGTTTTTATAAAAATGTATTCAAGCCAAATAGAGGATACGCCCAGGCAAGGTCTCAACAGATTGAGAAAAACGTTTCCCGGAAATGATTTTGTAGCTTCTCTTAAGATGTGGAGTTAAGCAAACGATCCAATAAAAAAATGGGCAGAGGACCTGAACAGACACTTCTCCCTAGAGGACATACAAATGGCCAACAAATATATGAAAAGATGCTCAACATCACTAGTTATTAGAGAAATGCAAATCAAAACCACAATGAGATATCATCTCACACCTGTTCAAATGGCTATAATCGACAGGATAAGTAATAACATGTTGGAGAGGATGCGGAGAAAAAGGAACTCTCATACGCTGCTGGTGGGACTGCAAATTGGTATAGCCACTATGGAAACCAGTATGGAGGTCCCTCAAAAAACTAAGAATTGATCTACCATTGAGCTGGGTATGAACTGATCTGGGTATTTACCTCATAGACTTGAAAACCGGTGCGTGGGGGAACAGGTGATGTAACACCTGCTGTTCCACAATGGTATCTGACAAGATAATTGCACACCAATGTTGATAGCAGCATTATTCACAGTGGCCAGGACATGGAAGCAACCGAAGTGTCCTACAACAGATGATTGGCTAAAGAAACTGTGGTACATATATACAATGGACTATTACTCAGTCATAAGAAGAGATGAAACATTGCCATTAGCGACAACATGGATGGACCTTGAGGTAATCATGCTAAGCAAAATAAGCCAGACAAAAAGTTGAAAAGCACATGATATCACTTACATGGGGGATATAAACCTAAAAGCAACGAATGAACAGGACAAACAAACAGAGAGTCTCACGGACTATAGACTAGTGGTTACCAGAGTGTAGGGGATAGGGGAGGGGGGTGGGTTGGTAGATGATTAAAGTGTGTCAAATATAGTGGGGTAGAGCTAGGGTGATGTGGGTAAAGGGGATCAAATATATGATACCTGAAGGAAACTGGACTTTGGGTGGTAAACACACAATAGAATATACAGACGTCAAATACTGTACACTTGAAAATTATATAATTGTATTAACTAATGTTACCCCCAATAAACAATAATAATAAAAAGATGTGGAGTTAAGG